CTGGCCCGCCACGACTCCGTGTGAGTACAGCAGCCACCTGCTCTGCCCTCCCTCCTCGGGGCCTGCAGCCTCCTTCTGTGTCGTGTGGCAAGGAGGTCATTTTAAATAGTGCAAGGCCGACATTTTTCTTTATTTCACTGTTGGTTTTTTTTCACTGAGGTGACTCCTTTGCAAAGTGTTTTCTTGCTGGGGATGGCTGGGATTGCTTGTGGCCCTGCAGTTGGCTTCACCAGTTACCATGAATTGTTACTTCTGGAGACTTTTTTCAGTTTCTGAGCTGGTATATTATTTTTTCCCCCCCCTGAATTTTCAAGAAATTTTGTTCTTTGTGCATCAGAATGTTCCCATTTCTCTCACTATTGATGCTTTAATGGTTTTCATTCGTAGAAGAAAGAATATTTTCATAAATACTAGAGTAAGTCAGTTTTCTTCAGTGTCAATGTACTTCATGTATCAGAACCTGTGAGTATATATCTTCATCTTTTGAGACAAAATGTCAAGTAGCATTTAGAATTGGAAACTTCAGCTCTTGTTACCACCTGAAGGTAGCAATTTTTTGTGGTGCTTTCTGAAAACATACAGGTCTGTATATTTTTATTACATATGACAGACTTTGATTACTCACTGCTCATTCTGAGTGACAGCGTCCTTCCACCTGGCAATAACTGGTTTTGCAATGCAACACTGAAAACTCCTGTATAAGAGATTCCTAATCCAGTTGCCACAGAGAACCCTTTCCTTGCTGAAAGGATCTTAGATGTAAGACCTAAAAGACGGGATTCACCTGTCCCAGTTCAGACTGCGTAACTCAACTGCGAAATCACCGGAAACTTGATTTTTGGTAGCTAGAGGGAAGTAAGTGCACAACCTACTTAGGGCCTACCTATTTCTAGTCTAAAATAAATCAAGTGAATTCTGTCCCAGAAATGTCTGTTTCCTTCTATTTACAGCAGGGGCACTAGGAGGTACCATATGTGCTACAGATCTGTGTGCCTCTTAGTGACTTTGTCTAAAACTGATGAAACACACTGATCTATGTTCCAGGCATGTTACAATTTTCCTCCTCTTCCTCCAGATCTTTGTGGAAATACTGCCACATATTTTCCTCTTCTTACTCCATCAGACTTTTGGTTCATACAAGTCGCACAGGTCTAGGTGCTCAGCTCTGCAAAGTCACACATATTCACTGATCTGGCAAAGTGAGATTCACATCGTTAAGCTCCTCCTGGTTATCTCAGTCTCCCAACATTTTATCAGCCTACTAAGTACCCAAGTTACATGTGGTGTCAGTGATCCATTTAGGTCCTGTTGGACCAGACAAACTGAAATTTCCCTGCAGGAACAGCCTTCACTTGCCTGTCTGGAAGTTTGGACGTGGTGCATGCTGGAAGAGATAGTGTTCATGTGACGGAAGCAGCTGGTGAACAAGTTTATCCTTGGTCGTTACCAGCTCTGCTTTGCCAGTCTTTGATGTATCACACTTAAAGGAAAAACAGGTGGTATGTGAATTCTTGACATTTCGTGAAATCACCTAATCCTTGCTCCCCAGGTTAAGTTAGTTTTCTGGAAGCCATGGTCTCTGTCTACCCAGATGGGTGCCTGAGAAACAGCAAGACCAAGCAGCAAGATCTCATTGGATGTGTCCAGTTGCTTTCATATTTCTCATATAGGTTTGGACTTTGCAAATCTTAAAGTCCTGCATCTGTGAAACTCACCTCTCTGCTTTGCTGCCACTCTGCATATGATTTGCTGTCACAGATGGTGAATCCACCAGCAGTCCTTCAGAGCCTTAGCGACATGATACGCACCTGGAATCCTGTCAGTTGGGAAAGGATCTGATCCATGAACATACATCTGGTAGCTTGCTTGACTCTGTTTCACTTAGCAGAAGCCAGGAAATGCAGACACATCTGGAGATGGGTTTTCCTCTCTTGAGCCTGTGGTAGTGCCTGCGTAACACCTGTCAATTAACACAAACTTCTGATGCCAAGCAGTGAACATTGTGAGCATCCTTTAGAAAATGATAGAAACTTTAGATTGGTCCAGGATCTCTTCTCTTTCATTTGTATGCAAAATAACAGCTGGCTTCTCTGGAGCCTGCTGTAGCTGCATCCTCAGCTCTCTGGCTGGAAGGAGCATCATTCTTCTCTGCAGTGTTCCACACTTGCTGACCTGCAGATAACGTATTTTAATAGAACTTCATTTGTCTCTTGTCCTCCCAAATACTTGCCTTCTCATGACAGAAGTTACGCTGTGCCTAATGTGCAGATCATCTGCTTTGAAGTCAGTGAGGTTCCTAGAAATTGCTTTTTTCTTTCTTTCTGACTCAGTATGATCCAAAAAAGAAATCACTTAGAACATGCTGTGGCACTGCCCATGATGCTGAGCCTGGCATTTCTCCCTCCTCCAGGTTTTGTCAGTCTCCAAGTGGACAACGTGACTCGGTTCCTGGCGAACTCCCACAAGGATGTAGTGTCAATTCAGACAAAAGAATTTCCAAGTTTCATGTAAATAAAAACAGAAATAGCCAATCTACAACCAAAATTGATAAGGTGGCATTCTGCCTTCACTGTGGTAGCTAGTTAGAGAAGCTGCCCGTGTGGAAGCATTACTGTATGGATCAGAACAGGCAACACCAGCCAGCAGACCTGCTTATTGTGAGTTAGGCTGCCTCAGATGGTCCTGGGTGTCAGCTAGCTCAGAGGCGACTCCTTCTCTTAGAAGTTTGTAGTACATGTGATGTATGTCCTCCAAGTCCAGCTTCCTGCTTTATAAATTAGACAGTTTTATTAGATATGTTCCATTACAAATGTATTCTCTGCACTACGGAAAACATACCTGTATACCTGTTACCTCATTTATATCACACTGAAATTTCTTTACCATCTAGAAATATTAGTTTCTCCAGTGGTAAAACCCACAAGAAACCAACTGACCCTACAGTTCTTATTTCCAGTCTTGTCATCTGGAAAAAAGAGTCTTTATTCTAATTACTGTAGTGGTACATTGCTGCTTCATCAACTATAATACTCAAGTTTTAATCTAGAATGCTCTTGTCCTCCTTGGGCAAAATATTCAGATATACTGTGCAGAATTCCAGAGCCTGACCTACAGTGATGAAGTGAAATGTTCTGGAATAGATTGTCAGATTGAAGCAGAAGGGTTGGCTGGGCTCCCTCTCATACTGCTCTCCACCTGGTACAAGGATACAAGTTGTTTTGTGTCTGTTGTCTTTCTCTTCCTGTCATCCAGTTGTGTGCAGAAACAGTTCTGAGAATTTTTCAGGAGTTGGGCTTCACTGAGAACAGGAATTCTCAAATGCTTTTAAAAATCTTGAGACTAACAAGGAGGCATCTGCTTGTACAGTAACTGCCTATCTGGGTAGCAATAATGACAGCTCTGTCAATTACAATCCCTCTGTTTACAAGGATGCTTACTTAAGAGATTACAATTATTATTCAAGGTGGCACAGATCAGATACTGTCCCAAGAAATAAAATGCCAAGGTTCCAGTCACCTCTTTCGACTATGGATTGCACGTAAGCCTAAATGTTACCTGGTATATGAAATCAAGAGTGTGTTTAATCCTGTAGCTCTCTGCAATACTAATTTTCTGACTAAGTATCTGTAGTTTAGAATATAAAATTTGAGACCGCCTTTGCTACACTGAATGTGTGCTTTCTAATTTTGCTTCAGGGTTTCTCAAACTTGGTCAAATAGTTCTCCTGTGTAAAGAACACAGGAAAAAAACAGATGATGGGGATTGAAAGGGACAGTTTCAGCTAAACCGATTTGTGAAGAAAAACTAAATTTCCAAATAGCTTTAGTTTGTTTGATTCTTTATTTTTTGGCTATTTTGAGTAGCTGGAGGAGCAAAGTTTTTTACTGGCCATTGGCAGCCAACGTTGAATGCAAGGACTCCACTTCTGCATTGCAAGTCAAAAAATCACTAGAAGTGCATGGAAAAGGGGACAGCATTTAAATTTTCTGCTCCAGCCTCTCCCTTAGAAAAATACATCTCTCTAGAGAGTTCAGTTTCACGGTTTGAGAAATTCTTCATGCAAGTCATGGGGTAAAAGGTGATGGTGTGCATGTCTTTCATGAGAGGACAGTCTGTCCATGTGGCTCGATTTAAAGTAACCTTAACTAGTGAAAACTGCTTAGCTCTCATTTGGTACCTCCAGAACTTTAAGTCAAAGAAATATCAAAAATAAACCCTCTGCACATCACAGATGTTTTGAGGAGGTTTAGGGGAGATTACTGCCAAGATAAAAGCTCTGCAGATAGTAGAATGCTACTGTGGTCTCCCATTGTGATTCCTGGAATTCCAAACTCTGGAATTGACTTGGGTTTGTAACCAGGGAGTGCTGAACTCCGTGCCTGGGGCTGGATATCACAGCTCTTTTCAGAAACTTGACATTACACCTACAGCCAAGACCGTTTAACTAGGAATGGAGGAAAGAAGGGGACAGCCACAGTGTCTAACGATGAGTAGTCATGCTAAATGTTGTGACAATTTTCTGTATGTTAGAGATTGGGTTTTTTCCTTATATCATCTTAGCTGATTTCTATGTCAGATACTTGCTTCATAATATTTCTTCTCCATGGTCTCTGATGTAGTCCAAAGGACTACCATGTTTACGGCACATTAATTTTGAATCCTGAAGAAGGAAGGTAGAAGAAAAATTTGGTTTATTTGTTTTTTTTCTTTTTTTCCCCTCCATATTCCTTAATCCTGACATTTGCGCCCTTCATAAAATTATTCTCACTTTCGGATAGAAAGAAGGAGAAAGGTCACTCTCAAACTATGCACTTCAGAAGGATTTTAAAATTAGCAATAACTTTTACAGAGCATGTCTGAGTAATTTCATGTTGCTCTATAGTTATCCAGGAGCAAATAGATTTAAGTAATCTTTTAAATAATTATATCATTTAAGAATCTAAATATTCTCCTAAGCAAGAACTAAGTAGTATCTTAAAATTAATGATGTAATCTCTTGAAACCAGCTTTTCTTACAAGCCACCTATAAACCAACGAGCGTTAAGTAGTCCCGGGGTTCCTCTTGCCCGTATGTACTCTGCAGCAGCACGACAAAGACATCTGCTGTGCAGTGATAAGTGACAACCCATATCAGCCAGGCACCAGCAACTGCTGTCCCTGCGTGTCTCCTAAAGCATGGGATGGCTGAACTCTTCTGTGGGTGAAGGGACATCTCTGGAACATGCTTTGCATCTGGCTTTTCCACTGCGTTTTCTTTCTGAACTCAATTTTGTGATCTTGGTGCCAGGCAGTTGCAGAGCAACTCTGTTCAAAATAAGAATGTCCATAGAATTATGACCCTTACAGATATCAAAGTATCAAACCAGCATCCAAGCAGTCAGCCACTAATACTTTGCCTAATTTCTTAAAAATGCCCAAAGCAGGAAGATTTGCATTCTAAATCCAAAAGCTATTGGAGCAAAGCACAAGTGGCAAGATGAAATGTGTTGGGTATAAAAACTATCCCAGGATTTAAAGGATACAGGGACTTTCACTTGGTTTGCATTTGTGTTACTATTTACAATTAACACTAATTACTTCCTGTTAAAAAAGCATCTCACCTTTAATTAAAGTTTCCTGGTTTAATAAAAAAATGAGTAAAATTTTAAAGTACCTTGATGTGTGAAGGAAAACATGGCTGAAGTCAGGTTGAATGTAAAGAAACAGGAGCAAATCAAAAGCAGTTTATCATAACTAATTTCTGCCTGATAGGGATGAGGTTTGTAAAGACTTTGCAAAACTAACTTGTATAACAGATGAAAACTGCGTCCCTGCTTTGTTACTCATGTTTGTTTCTGGAGAACATCTATAAATCCTGCTCTACTGGGGTCTGGGAGAGTTGCCTTAGAGTGGTGGGAGAAGGGTAAACCAAAAGCAAGCAATGAGCATTTTGGAATGGGGTCTAACTGAAAAGCTTTTTTTAATTTAAAAATCTGACTGCAGTATTTTTCTCTCCGTTTACTGTGCTTGTATGAACAGTGTGACACCATCACTGCAACAGGCTCGTGTCTGTCCTCCCAATATGTTACCTGAAGATGGGACTAATCTTTACTCTGCTCGTGGCATTTTGTCGTTTATCCAGTCTTCCACTCGTAGGGCTTACCAGCAGGTCTTGGATGTGCTGGATGAAAACCGCAGGTGATTGGTTGTCACTGATTCTGCCAGCTTCTGCTGCTTTTTTTTTTCTTTTTCTTTTCTCCTTTTTAGTGGAGTTTGGTTTCTGTTTACAAAATAACGAGATGAAATTATTTGCTTTTGCTTTCCTTCGCTTTCACTATTCATAAGCAATTTAACTGTCCAAAATTCACATTTCAAAATGCTTCTGTTTCAGTCAAATATAGCATTGTTTTGGTTTCCTTCTAAATAAAACACAAAATGGGAAATGTTAGTCTGTGACTGCAAGGGGTCTTGCTGTTCCCAGATTGTCAGTGTCTTCTGTGATTAATCCTTGACCCTGAGCCTGCAAATTTATTAGCCTTGTCTTTTTCTTTTCTGTTGGTGAGCAACGGTGCCAGTCAATAAGATTGGGTTGATGGTGTCATAAAGCAAAAGGAATGTGCAGGAGCAGGGTGGAAGGCTGTGCAAGGCACCGTAGACACTGCTTCTGATAGTGTGTGAGACTTGAGGCGGGTCCAGTTTGAACTGGGAACAGTTCTCCCTGGTTGATCTGTGACTGGCAGTGACCACGCTGCCGGCGGCTGAGGGCAGGAGAGGCGAATTTTGTCAGTCTCCAGTGTGGGGCTAGCTGACACCTTGCCCAGAGGTGAAGGTCTTGCCCAGAAGTTAGAGGAGATGGTTGGCAAGAACATCATGAGGAGCTGCTCGTTCCTCCTGCAGCCCTTCGGTGTGGCCTGTGCTGGGACGTTCTTTGAAATTTGTCATCTGATCTGGTTGCTGATACCCCAGCAGCACTCCCAGTATTTTGAAGTGAGGTTAAGTTATTTGCTTTCTAGCTCTTTTGGTAATAAAACATGAGTATCAAGCCAATCTTATTGTGAACCTTTGTGTGTTTGCAGTCACTCCCCAAGCTGGCACCTCTTGTAGCTCACCATGTTTGCTGACCTGACAGTACATAAATGTCCATATTAACATTCCTGGACCATAGGGAACTCTAGTCCTGCTGCCCTTCATGTTCTTAAACTGGGATTTAAAACAAATAAATAAACAAATTAGCTGTATAGTTCCCCTTAAAATTCACTAAGTTGGGTGCTTAACCCTGACTTAATCCTCTGAAAGAAATTTCAGGCTGTAGCTGCTAAAATTTTGATGCCTGTCAGCAGTTGGACAGCAATACGTTTTTTTCCTTAGATTACAAGTTTGTTTTGTTTTAAAAAATTAAAGCTCTAGTTAAGGAGGAGTTCTATGGTCTCTGAATAATAGCACTTGAGGATACTGTGCCAGGAGTCCCTGTTCAAATACAAGCTGAAATCCCAGCCCTTTGCCCAATCTACAGTGAAGCTAACAGGTTTTACTCCTGGCTGCCATTAGGTGTGTTCTCGCCCATGTTTTCTTGGATTCTGGAAAACATACACATAGACACACTGTCAGCTTCCTTCAGTTGTCAGAAATTTCTAGGGTTCTGAATGCTTCAAGAGCTGCATTACTCTTCCTGGTTTGAGTTAGTTCTTGAGGTGTTCTTACTGACCTTCCTAGGAGAAAATGGGAAACCTGTTTCTAGTCACCTCTGAACAAGCAGGTGCCAAAACAATGAACTTGTCAATAAGGTGAAAGCGTATTCCTTGGGTTTGGGTGTTTGGATACCCACCATGACTTCAGGAATGTGAAATTTGGATGATCCACTTGCATGGTTGCAAAATACTGTTCATTTTAAATTGCTCCAAACCTGCACTCTGTTCTTTTGCTCTGTGTAATGTGCTTTCTATCTCAGAACCTTACCTACTTTAACGTTTTATGCTTAATACTAGAAAAGATCTTTTAAAATGAACATGATCTGACTATGTGTTACTTACTGGAAATATTTTTAACTTGTTTCATGGCTTGCCTTTTTTTATTTTGTTGTTCCCCAAATATTTTCCTATCTACTAAGACTACTAACGGTAGCTGCTGATTGTACTGCTGCAGATAATGAATTATGCCTCATGTAGGCAGCACTGCTCACACCAGAGGTTCTTTAAACGGGCAACAGTTTCATGATCACTGTGCACACTGTCTGTTTACTACTGCATTTCCTTCAGCTTGGACAAGGACAATGGGTCACTTTAATTTTCCAGTTCTAAACATTTTTCTGTTTAAATTTGGGTTGAGTGAGTGTAGTGCCTACATCTAATGTCTTTGAAAGATTGATCTTTTATGCTCTAGGCCAAAAAAAACCCAACTCCAACACACCACTACCACCACCCCACATATAAGGAGATTTTAGTGATGCGTCAAGCGCAGGTAAAAAGGGAATTTCATATCTGCATAGAGTTAGGTTGTAATATGTACTTCATCTGAACTATGTTCTTATCTCTTGGTTCAATATGTTTTTATCTAGAATAAAAAGGTATAGGAATTTACTGCTATTTCCTTTCTTCAGGACAGCCCTTTCTAAAAAGGCACTACCCTTCCTACATGCCAAACTCGCCCACCTAGCCACATCCTGAGGTGGTAGGAGATCGCTTTTTATATTGAGCAAGTGAATGATATTTTTCATGGCAGAAACAAAATGGGATGTGAGTTAAGGCCGTTGAAGAGGGCTGCATGTGACTTTGGGTTGGGATGGGATAGTTCAGAAGAAAACCCAATGGGTCTGAAATGCAAAGGACCATGGGAAGAGCAGCAGCCTGTTGCTGTATGGAAGAAACACCCATAGCACGGCGATGAGCCAGGAGAGCACTGTCATCCTGTCGCTGGTTCCATCACGGTCCTTGCCAGGCTTCAGGAGCTGAACTGTTTACCCAGGTCACGTCCAGAACGTGTCCCTGAAGTCCTAGTGCCCATTCCTAGGGCCTTTCTGAGATTGCCAGGGGTGTTCCAAAGCACAGCAGAGGTGAACACTGCTGCTGCCCCTGCTGAGCACAGAGCATGAGAGAACGTGCTGGCCTCGGCCCCCGTGTGTGGACACGAGGGAGGCTGGCCCGGGACCCTAGATTGTCACGCCTGGTGCTTTTCCTCCCAGGCCGTGGTGGTGGTTGCCTCATCGTGGTGGCATTTCCGCTGCGTGCTCCACTCTCCACAGCAGAAGACAGAGCAGGTTTTTCTGGCCATTGCCCTGCTGTCTGTGCTCCCCCATGGTGAAGCTATGTTGCTATACGTGCAGGGAAACAGTGAAGTGTTGAGTGTTCCTGGCCTCAGAGCTACGGCTTCTTCTGGTCATGAGTTAATGCTTAGGATGGAAGTGACAGAAGTAGCCAGAAAACTCACAGCTTTAATGTGCTCTCTATTTTTTCAAGCAGACATACCTTTAATAGCTTGACTGTATTAGACTTGTGCATTCTGTATTTACCAAAACATTTACTGTTGATTTTGGGGTAAGGTGATGTCAGTTACAAGGCGATCTATAGAATAAGGATTTTTTTTTGTTGATGTATAAAAGCAAGCAAATAAAAAGTGTGGGAGAGACGGGGGTATTCTGGTAATCCTTTTGGGTTTGCCTGTAAAGAAGTAACATCTGAACTGCAAAGAAAAGGAAGAAATCATGTGCAGCTTCCTAACAGCCTGGCAGGGTTGGGAAGCAGGGTTAAAGACTGGTCTTTAGGTTAAGTTCCTGATTTGCACAGATCCCAGAGCAGTTTTGTGCCTTGCTGTAGCCCTCAGCTGCCTGCAGGCCTGTGGCTCCCCTTGAGAAGGGCGGTGTGAGTGAGTTGGAACTGAGTAGTTCTACAGCGGCTGGAAACTGTTTGCCATGGAATGCCTCTGAGGCCAGGAGGCTAGAGAGCGTTGGAGCCCATTGCTGTCATTGCCCAAGCCCCAGGTGTTGTTGCCCTGTGTCAGGTGTGTGTGGGATGCTGCTGGATGGGGACAGGCTGAGGGTCACACGCATGCCCGTGTTCTCAGGGCAGTGACTTGCCGTAGCTGCTCTTCGCTGAATTTCTTTTGCTTTCCCAAAGGATTTAGCTCTAGCATCACTCAGACAAGACTTTAGACTAGCTGAATTAATTCCCTGATTGATTAAGAACACCTTTTTTGGTAACTTTCTGCAAGGCCTCGTGCATGTAGGTCAGAATATTTTTACTTAGTATGTCCTGGGAGCAGGGGTTGGTGTTCCATGAAGCAGGTCGGGCTTGCTTGTCTCATGTGCCAGACCTCAACACCCATGCTATGCCCTGATGGTGCTGGGTGGGGCAGGACATGGTCCCGTGCGCTTTGTGTCGGGTGCCAGCTTGCCAAGGCTCCCCGATGCCAAGCCTTTTAACTGACACTAGTGCCTGTGGTATTTTTGCCCAGTTCTCGATCACTTTCAGGCCAGGCTGCAGTGTCCTCCCAGCCACCTGAGCACCAATCCTCCGCCTCTTTTGTGTGCCTGCTGTAAAGATCTTCACACCTGGAGTCCCTTTGTCTTCCATTTCATAGGCTGCAGCATACATGGGTCACATGCACAGTACAGGTACCTCCAGCTGGCACTAGAGCATGGGGGGAATTGAGGAAAGGTTTCGGGCTCCTGAATGGTTTGTTACACGTGGCGGGTGTGGAACCAGCACCCCGTTACCCGAGGCGCTGCAGACAGGACTGGCGCTCTCAGGAGGTGGTCACCTCAACAGGGACACAGGAGCTCCCGATTGCAACGTTCATGTAGTTGTAAATTATGTAGTTGTAGCAACTTAGGAAGCTCTTCTTTGTCTTCCTCTCTGCCTAGAAAGAAAAGAAAAAAAAGCAAACTTAAGGAGTAGCCCTTACAGGGATGTTCCTGTCCTCCATTTGAAGCCTTTAGTCACTTATTCCTGGAGAGATCTGCCTCTCTTCCAACTATAGAAGGTCCATTAGCTGCTAGCCCAGGTTTTATGAATTACACCTAGCATAGATTAATAAAGAAAAAAACATCTCCCTTTTGCCTAGAAGGAGAAGATGATTAAAAAGGCTTTTATAAGTATGTGTAGATACTTTTTCTTTTTCCCCCTATTGTTGTTGGCTGCAGTTTGGGAGGGATTTTTTTTTAACATGTAATTTCCCATGGTTATAAGGCTGATAACCTCTGCCCAAGTGTCTCTTCCAACAGTTTGTCTTTCATAAATGAAGCTGTGTCATCAAAACTTTGCCTATGTGTCTTGGCTGCATAAACATTCAGTGTTGATTAACTGGAGTAGAAGAACTATGAAAGTGCACTTTTCAACAAAATAAATAGGTGCTATATTGTATGGAAACATGGTATAAGTGGAAATATTTTGACATTCCTTTGTTCTGTGTGTTTCACTTCTTCTCTCTGTCATTTCCTGTTTCTGTCTCATGCTCTCTACCTACACCCTGCCGTAGGCCAGTGTTACGTGGTGGGTCAGCTGCTACCACTTCCTCTAACCCTCAGCATGACAACACCAGGTAAAGAGTAGTTTTTTTGTTAGTCATGATCCACTAAAAGAATCACTTTTGAGATTCTAAAATTCTGACTGTTGTTTCCCTGTTTCTGGTGTCCTCATTTTAAAGCTAAATGCTTATTCTGTCCTCCTCCTCCTCAACTCTGAGATGTTTCAGGCCTTTATTCCTTGCCCAGCTGAGTCACCTGTAAGGACCTCACTTGTGTGGTAGACATCATGCACTGCAGAGCTCCAGCTCAAAGTGATATGCAAAGGGAAGCTCCTAAATTGCATTAGCAGCAGACTTTAAAGTATTTTATATTTAGTAGCGAGTTCCCTATTTTTGTTGCTAGAGAATGTGGCCTCGCAGCACCACAGGTATTTCCCCAGGTGTTCTCAGTAACATGCCTGTGGTTGTTAGGTGTAACTGGCTGATTGACATCATTTCAGAGGAACTGGCTATCAGAATGACACAATCTCATGGTGAGGATGAAGGGAAAAAAAATGGTCCTTCCACAGCCATTGTTCCCATTTACTGCCCCACTTCCGCCTTTCCATCGGAACAGCAATTAGAGTTGTGCTGAGCAGACCCTGGGTTCCAGCAGGTGATTCTTCTCTAAGTCACAAATTCAGTTTTGGTAATGGCCCAAGAGATTATCTGAAGGGGTTTCTTGCTGGTGACCCCCTTGATTTGATGCCTGGCATGGTTTGGAGGTTGGTAGAGCAGCAGCGATATGCCGTGGCTTCATATGGAATGTATGTGCCCATGGAGGCTGAGCCTCAGCCTCCCCCAGGGCATGGGGCGGCACAGCTGCGCTGGGCAGCTGCTGCAGCTGTCTCCTTTTTTTACCATCTACCACAAATTCTAAAATGGCTACAAAAAGACCCTCAGAAATGTCCCTGGCTTTCAGACAACCTGTCATAGCAAGGAAAACTTTATTTACTCTTTCATCTGCAAAGCCTCAGACATCTTTTTAACTGTAGCAATGTTCAAATTGTTGTATAACTAACCTAGGTTCATTTTAAAATAGCTTTGCTGAGTGAGCAATGTGAGCTTCATGGCGCTGCGGAGAGGAAAAGAACCCAACAGTTTCAGTCTTTTAAACTGAAAGAACTACAATTAGTAAATAGCATCAGTTTTGAGATAGGAAGTGAGGAACTCAGCAGTATCTGCAGCCCCAGGGACTACTTTTGATAGAGGGTAGTAGTTGGATTTCTAATCTGCAGCCAGGCCTTGGGCAATTTTGGCATTTTAGTTCAGGCAATTTTCGGGTTCCATGAACTGAATAGTTAAATAAATGGGAACAGTCTTTTGAGCGACCAGGTGACAGCAAAGAGTCTATCTGGAGAACCCTCCACACAAAGTAGTTAAATGTGGAGAGCAGTAAACCCAGATTCAGTCAAGCACTTGCCCACTTCATCGTGTGTCTGTGCTCTGTTTAGTTGGGATCCTGGTGAAATAGCTCTAAAATCTGGGGAAAATTCTTATAATTCTTCTCTCTGTCACCACCAAAGCCCTCATCTAACAGAACGTTGATGAAATGTGGTACTTGCTCACTTGGCACAAACAGCCAGCTGAGCCCTCTCCCTTGTTTGGCAGGTACAGTCTTTCCAACTTGGATACGACGCTGGAGGGAACACCAGATGACATGACAGTTGTAGATGCCGCTTCCTTAAGACGACAGGTATGTAAAGCAGAGTGGTTTGTAACAGTAAGAAAAAGCTGTAGTGGCATATTGGGGGAATGGGGTTTTCATGTGGCTGCAAAGGTTTCCATCACAGATGTGAGGAGGGGTCCTCTGCCAGGCTGCCCCCACGTGTCCTGGGAACATCAAGGTCTGATTGCTAGCAACCAGAGTCAGAAAGTCAAATTATCACGTTTAAAATACGTCTGTCCAAGATATTCATGCTACATGGCTCTCTAGAATCTTCTAGAAAATGACAACTTTTAATGAAGTATTAAAAGCCTTTATTTATTTTTTAGATAATCAAACTTAATCGCCGCCTACAGCTTCTGGAAGAGGAGAACAAGGAGCGTGCTAAGAGGGAGATGATCATGTACTCGATTACCGTAGCTTTCTGGCTACTCAACAGCTGGCTCTGGTTTCGGCGCTAGACGAGCTCCTGGGAAGATTTAGTAGCTGGAAATACAACTTGCAGATTTCTTTGTTTCTGTTTCTGAATTGTACGCTGTTTTTGTAATCCCTGCACTGGGAACGCCCCCCGCAGGTGGGCTCCGGAGTGTCCCGTGCCCGTGGACCCGCGGCCTCCCCCCACGCTCCGCTCCCACAGCGCTCCCGAAACGAGCCTGGGGCAGCGGCGGTGGGACGAGCGAGCGGGCTGGAGAACGTGTAAAAAAAGGGGTGGGGCGTCGTTTTGCGTGTTCTGTTGTTAGATGCGATCACAGACAGCGTCACCAACCACCCCTGGTCCCCGGGGCTGGAGGTGTCCTGTGCCCTCGGTGTCTCCCTTCTTCAAGCACATGTC